AATGACCAAATGTTGGCTAGAGGACACGTGAAAGACTTCACCTGCCTGTGGTTGGCATAGCATAGAGCAGCATCGTACAGACGGCCTCTTTGATCTCATATGTGTCCTTTGAGGAATACATAACTGGTTTGGGCTTATTGGTGAGATATTTTAGGCTATCTCATGTCAAGTTTTATATGGACTTTCTTGTGTGTACCTCACCTTTATACCTATTGATCAACAGTCTGAAAGCAGATCTTAAGAAGAAACAAAGGAAGGAAAGATATCCGTGTATAATATCCTATTTTTATTTAAAATCACTTTTACCACATGGCTCAGGAATTGGTACAAAGGCATCCTGATTCTGGAGCTTTTCGTCTGACCTTGCTCCTTAACCACTGCTTAAAAATAAAATGGCAAGAGTTGGTAACCTCCAGCATGGGTCTTAGTTCACCTTCGTGCCTAGGCTTAAAAATAACTTGGATGCTTCGCAGCCTTCGCCGAGCCACAAGGGCCGAACTGCAGGAGGTGGTTGCGCTTTCCCTTCAGAGCAGTGGGACTCGGGGGTAGGAGAGATGTCCTTCCCGAGGCATCTGGGCCCCGTGCAGCGCGGCAGCTGCCCTGCTCCGCAGCTCGCCAAGACGCCATGCCGCAGCCAAGAGCTGCAGCAAAGCCACCGAGCAAGGCTGGTCGTCTGGGAGGTGACAGGAAGGTAGGAAGTGTGTATGGAAACAGCCGTTGGAGAAGGTCCTCTGCCTTCAAGTCTCCAGTTGATGTCCAACTTGCTTGTGTTATGGTCGGAGGCGGCTTTTTTACGAGGGGGTCAGGATTATGATTCCCTAGGGCAGCTGGCAAGCCGTGCCCTGAGTTGGGTATGAAATTCCGTGACAGACGGTGAGAGCTGATGTTGGCAGTGCGCTGTGTTTCAAAGACTGGCCAAGCTCAAACAGCGTGGGGAGAGGTCTCCTGTGAGCAATGAACTTTTAATTTTTGCAAAGTCATTAACAATGCGGTTTTTATTGGTCTTTTATTTTTACCTCCTGTCTCGCCTGCAGATGGGAGGCTTTAATGAAATATGTAACTTAGGCGACTGTTTTGATTTAAATACTAGGAGAATTTGTTGTGAGTAGGTGTTGCTGTCTGTAAAATGGCAAAAAACATGATGCCGTGAGATGTTATTTCTCCTACTTTGTTCATGCAGTTTCAGCAATAGAATGCTACTGCACCGTGTGCCATTAGTGGGCAACAGGCAGCATCTCTGAGAGTTTGGAGGAATTTCATCAGTGTTGGGCCTTCAGCTACAAACCCCAAAGTCCCAACACAGCTGGCAGCAGTAGGGTTTATTTTGGTAGGCGGTAATAACCTTGGCCTCTAGTTGCATGGCATAATAGTGCTAATAAGATGCTGTGCTGAAATTCCAGGGTATGAGCTGATTCATTCTGGCAGGTTCTGCTCTCCTGCCTGCCAGAATGCAGTTCCTTAACACCTCCTATAGAGCAACAGATCACACTCCTTCACCTTTTCCGTGGAGAGACTTATTCTCAAATTAATTTTCATTTGGATATGTAAAAACAGCTGGCAAAACAGAGCTCTTCATAAAATGTAGTCACCTCACAGTAAGTTGTAAATCAAAAGTACATGTTTTTCAGTTAATGAATGCTTATGCCTTTTTACAAGATAAAAGACCAAGACTGGACAAAATGGATTTGGAAAACTTTCGTCTTCTGAGAGGTCTTTTGTGGGTTTTATTTTCTAAATCACTAGCAGTAAATACTCAGACTTCTCTAAGTGCAATGGCCAATACTCCCATTCTAACTAGTATCTTACCACTATCTTTCTCATGAAAATACTTTTAGATAAGTAATACAATTCCAATGTGTGTAATCCTAAAGTAAATAATTTTAGGATACTGCTTACAAATACGGATATACAGTGCTTCCAGTGTTTACCAAGAGCCGTGTTTTGCATGTAGCTTTGTTTTTTGTTTCACAACAATTCTTTTTTTCTATTATCAGCGTACCAGGACGTTACGTGTCATGCCCTTTCTGATCCTTTGTTCTCTGTGTTCCTGTAGGCAATTAGTCGTTACTTGCCCAGACGGGATCCAGTTTTGAAACCTCTGATCTACGAAATGGTCCTGCATGAGTTTTTGGAGAGTGACTACGAGGTACGGCAGCCTGACCTGGCCACACGTAATAGCTATTGCCAGCAAAATACCCTCAGCAACGTGGAATTCTGATAGCAAATTCTCTGTTGTATTCTAACAGATTTTCAATGGACAATTTAATAATAATGAAAAGATTAGCAATTTTGAAACCTCTGATCTACGAAATGGTCCTGCATGAGTTTTTGGAGAGTGACTACGAGGTACGGCAGCCTGACCTGGCCACACGTAATAGCTATTGCCAGCAAAATACCCTCAGCAACGTGGAATTCTGATAGCAAATTCTCTGTTGTATTCTAACAGATTTTCAATGGACAATTTAATAATAATGAAAAGATTAGCAAGATGAATTTTGGAGCCACAAGGGCCAATCTGCAGGAGGCGGTTGCGCTTTCCTTTCAGAGCAGTGGGACTCGGAGGTAGAAGAGATGTCCTTCCCGAGGCATCTGGCCCCCGTGGTTACTTGTTATAAATGCTGTTATTTTTAGTTTGTTTGATGTTGCACGAGTGGTCGAGGTGCTGCGCAAAGCATACAGCACCTGGAAGAGACCCAGCTTCATGAATCGTAATAACATTGCCCTAAGAAGGAAAATCTGTGTTCTGCACTGTGCATGTCTGTGGGCATGTAAAAGTGTCTTAGAGGCGAAACACAGCAGGTGTCATCTCAGAGGCTTAGCTGAAGCTTTAATGCTTTCAGATGTTCCTTAGGCATTTCTTTCCATTTCTGTTACAATCTCTTCTACTTGTAGGGATTTGCAACCCTGATAAAAGAGTGGCCTGGAGATCTCTACAACAACACAATCATAGTTCAAGCTGTAGTGGATCACCTGAAGAAAGATCCACAGAACAGGACTTTGCTACGAACACTTGCAGAATTGTAAGTACAATTTCAAACACCTGTTAGAAAAAGTAAGCTTGAAATACTATACTCTAGTTTATAAATATTTGCCCAACTCTCTTAACAGAAATATCTGCTTTGCAGCAGTCTAGTGAGTATTAGCTTTCTCTGCTGTCTGCTCTGCTGATTGCACAGCTTAGCAATTCTTTTCCCTTCCTTATAAAGTGTATGCTGAGTGTGAAAGCAAAGAGTTGAGTATAAGATTGGATCTGCTATTCCTCTTTCCAAAGCAAGTAGCTAGCATTCCTCTTTATGCTGTCAGAGGAAGCCTCTTTTGTGAAGCGTGTATTTCAGAATTACCCACAGGAAAATAAAATGATGGGTTTTTTCCCCA